TTGACGGGTTTTATTTTTGAAATGGTTTAGTAGAAAATATAATTGTCTCTAATTTATAACATTTTATTATGAAATATTTCTGAGTTCATAATGAGTATCTGCCATGCCTAAATATACTCAGACTGCGTCTCCACAACCCTGTCACACACATCATTTCAATCAAGGCAATAACTTGGCAAAATTCCTATCAACTTCAGTAGGAAATTATCTTGCAGGTTTTGATCTCTGAACTGTTAGGGTTGAGGGGGAACCAAATGGACTCTCTCATAGTGTTGGAAAGTGTCCATAACTTATAAAGATAAACTCTCATTATTTGCTCTGAGCCCCTTACAAATGAGAACAAACTGAGTGCCAAAAATCATCTCATGCCAGTGTTTTCATTTTTTTCTCTAGGTACATTGAGATACATAGATCTTTTAGTACAGGACTCCAACTTTGATCTCTTTCCTGTATTTCACAGAAGAGCTTCATATTTTGAAGGGATACAGGATTTTTCTTTTTGGTCCCCTGCCTAGACAAACTGCAGGGGTGGGTCTATATGGGAAGTTTTGTAGTAATAATGCGCTCTTTAGATAGCTCTGGTGAAGGAAATAAGACCAAGGAAAAGCAAGAGTTGATAATGCAATGGTAATAGTAAAAATGTGGCTGCTCCTTTCTGAAGTGGTTTAAGAGCATCAGGTCTTTGGAGAATTTTTATTGACTCTTCATTTACAAAGACTGAGAAGATAGAGCATGGTTGCCTTTTTTCTGAAGACTGAAAATGTACAGTGAAGTATGGTGACAAAAAATATTACATTCAGATAACAGATGAGACAGGAGAATCAAGGCAAGGCTTCAAATCCCCTTGCCTAATTTTGTACGATTTTGGATTATTTGGATTAATTCATTAATTTCATCTGTTTTGCTAAAAGCTGGGAGCCAAGGATCAGTGCTCCTTGCATGTGCTGACTGAATTTAGTTCTTTTCCATCATAAACCAAAGACCAAAATGCAAAGAAACATTGGATTCAGTAATGCCTAAAAATAAAGGTTCACATCTCAGTTGTAATGATCCATCAGTATGATAAATGCATGCACGCAGATAACTGTATTTACTATGCTGATAGTTGCATCCTAACATCTAGCACAGTACAAAGCACTAATGAGTAGCTTGATTTGATCTGCATGGAACGTAAATGTAGAAACTGTGGGACATGAATGTTGTCTTCAGATGCAGACAAAAAACCTTCGAAGGATGGAAGGCAAATGCTAAATTTTCTAGTTGCCCAAAAGGCAGGTTTCTCAATGGATTTTAGACTCAAAGATGAAATCTACATTGCTGTGTATCTTCAGATAAAGCTATGCCAATATGTTAATGTACTAGAAAAAGTGATAAGAATAAAAATATGGATGAGTTCAGCCTTGTCCTAAAGCAACAGAAAGATTCTCTTGGGTGCTCTTATCAAATATATGTATAATATTACAAAAATATTACAGCTACTCAGTCTTATGGAAATGAATGACAATGGAAATGGAAATGACCACATAAGTGCAACCTAAAGAAAGCTACTGAGACAAATAAATAGAAGTCTGAATTACTGGCTACTCTCAGTTAAACAACAACAACAACAACAAAAAGCAGCAAGTACCATATGAGTTTCACTGGAAGGTCTGTTTGTAGCCTACTGTCAAAGGGAAGATTCTGAGGGGAGTAGCACATTATAAAACAAGGGATTACAAGGAAAGGGTGAATATGTGGTAATATATCCACATCATCTAGCCTGTAGTTAGCCCCTGTTCAGGGACTTCCTAAATTGAAGACTCTATCACGACTATATTGTATTTAAGTGTCTAACAAATCTTATTCCATCAATTTAACTAATCATTTTCCTGAACTCACTTAACCTCTTGGCTTTCAAAGCCTCCTGTCAGCAGTTTACTAACACTGCCTGGAAAATGCTTCAACCTCTTTTTTCTAAATTGTCTTCCAAACTGTTTAATTTAATGTCCTTTGTGCTGCAAAGAACAGTGCATACTTTCCTGCTCACATTCTTCATACTAATCTTGATTTTATAAATCTAAGACTTATTCCCTCTCAGTCTTCTTCTCTCCGATGAAAACATCCAATCTGCAGCATCTGCTGAAGAAATTCCCTAACTCTATTCACCTTCACCTCCTTCTTTATGCTTTTCCTCCATCTTCTCAGAAAGGAAAGCAACCAAAATTGTATACAACACTCAAGATACAAGAAATGTATGAGATTTCTATACTGGCTTAGAGGGATTTCCTATTTCTGCCTTTTTCTTTTTTTGCTAATGATTCTAGGACTTTGTTCTTTTGGCTAATTCTGAATAATGGGATGATGTTTTCAGAAGCTCCCACAATGATGACAAGATTTCTTTTTTGATTGGCAATGGCTAACAAGGTCTGTCATCATGAATGCATCATTCACTCCCTCTGTCTTATCCCTTTAAGTTTCATCTGTCTTTTTTTTAACCCAGTCTTTTATTCTTGCATGGCAATTCTGAGACAGTTTGCAACCAATTTTAGTTTTGATTACTCAGATTTTCTATAGTCAAAAATGTCATCATATCTGTATTTGCTCCCTCTCCAAGAGCATTAACTACTCATGCAACATGTACTCATCTGAAACTCTCAAATTTATTTTACTAATCTTCTATGCCACTGCATAAATATGTTTTTTATATTATTATGGTTTCATCAAGCTTTGGTAGAATGGAGTTTAGACTTAGCGACCTCTACTTGCTTGTATTAGTGACTGTTTTAAAATATTGACACATTTCACTCCTGAAGTATCGAAGATTCTGTTACATTTGGAACCAGTGCCATTGTGATAGAGCTTTTGGCAGAGATTTAGGATGTTAAGTTCCTAGTTTTTCACCTGTTACTTGGATGCTCTGTAGAGAATTATATGAGGTATAATTAATGTTGGTAAGTTCACAACAATTACCTATGGCATTTTCCAAGAGTTGATTTTAGCATTAACCTTTACATGGTTATTAATTATCTGGAAAAAAAAAATCTTATGTTAATGCGTTCTCTATAGTAATTCTGTCTACAGACTACTCCATCATTTCTGGCTCTCATTATAAAGAAGGTCTGTGCCTGCTCACATCTCTTATTTGTACAAGTGCAAGAATGACCACCCTCAGTTTCTCACATTGATTAATGATCATGCTAGATTTGCACTAAAGGAGATTGGGTATAATTTGTAATTTTAATTTCTTGAAAATTTTAGGAGCCCATTTCCGTTACTATTAACAAAAAAGAGGAAGGGAATTCATGTAGCAAACATCTTTTTTGGTGGTCAACTTCTAATTTTTGTATGATCGCACAATGATATGAACCCCTCTGACATATGAAAATGTTTTGAAGTTTACACAAAGAGAATTCACATATACAATTTCCCCCCAAAAATGAGAAATCAAATGTAAACAAGAAGCATGTCACCAGAGAAAGTCACAGCCCAAATACGCGAGATAAAATTTCATGCTCAGTGAGCATCAAATGTTAGAAAGTTTTCAAATTATTTTGTTTTCTCTTTTTGCGCTGAAGATAATGCCAAATAACCATTGCCTTTAATGGCTCTGTGCTTTAAAAAGGAATATGCAGTCTTAAGTCAGCCCTCCTGCTGTTTCACTGCCTTTGACTATTAAAGACAGCTTGTGCTATTAACATGGTGTTAGGCAAAGTGATTGCCTCAGCTATTGTTTATGACCAAGTAAACCTGCTACTTCATGAGCATGGTAGAGGAATACATTTCAGCAATTTTGCTTTTGCTGAGTGAGAGATTATAATGGATATTTTTCTCAAGGTTTTGTTTTCAAAGGGCCATTTTTGCAACATGTTGGCTACTTTTCAAAGTGTCAGCAGCATGCATTAAGCAATGTCTTAAAGGTCTTTTCTTAAAGGTCATTTTTTCTTAGCTGGTGTTTGCTGCTGACAGCAATATAGCCTCAGTGATATTGTCGTAAAACTCAAAAAATGAGCTTCTGATAATCTTTAGGAACCACACACTGAGAGTCCAGAAATCAACATAGGAGTCAGACATTCATGACTATATTCCAGTTGCCTTTCTGACAAAATACATACTACGGATATTGTTAATTACAGTGGGTTATGGAAAGCCCACAAATGAATAGAGTAATAAGCATTAACTATACTAAATCTCATAAAGAATGAAGAGCTCTTGCAAGAATATTTTTCACTCAATTATTGCTTGTTAGCAGAATAATATTGATCTGATTGTTTTTATTTAGCATCAAACATACATATTGCAAAAATTAAAAGTTGCTGCAGGCTCAGTTCCAGCTTGCCAGGTGTTGTAATAACCAATACGTGATAATGGCTGCTCCTGTAGAGACTCATTTGAGTCTCTACTTGGGGCGTTTATAATCACTGTTTTTGGATCACGTCTATGTTGTGCAAGTATAACCACGCACATATCCATAAAGGTGGAAATTCCCACAACTTTCAAGCTCAGGATGGCAGAAACTGATTTCTGTGGTTTACCTTACAGTCAGTCTTCTCACTCTGCTACCACTTTTTTCTCACATCCATGTTGGTTTGGGATATTTTTAATCATCTCTGTTTGCTCCAAAGTAAACTCCATAGGATATCTGTTTTGTCCTTCCACTCTGCCAATGCTGCAATCCCAACTCTGTCTCTTCCAATTTCTAGACAGAACATCCAAAATACAAAAACCTGCCTCCCACTGTGGTACTGCCAGCAGAGCTTGTGGTGCTTTTTGTGAGCACAATCGTCCTGGACAGGAAATATTAACTCAGCAAGACACTGATTTATATTGTTATGCTGCCTTCCAGCCACCACAGATATGTTTAAATCGTTGATGAAGAATAATTGCTATCAGCAATAAACTTCCTGTCCAGCCCACTTCATTATCTTCACATATTCTGATAGCAGCAATTCACAATTCCATTGCTTTTCTCACAGCCAGAGAGGCACAACATAGAGCTTGAACAGAAGCTCAGGAGCCCGTACCTGTAGAGGATGTTCCAGTGCTCTGCATACACCATTCTCCTGCTCACATTGCTGGAGCATCTTCTTCCAGTGGTGATCCAGCCTCCGCTGCCCCTTTTACCCAAGGCAGACACAAGCCTGAGATCACTAGCTAAAAAATATAGATAGGTGCACACTGAGTCCTCAGCACTGGCTGCTTTGCTGCTGCAGATTCACTCCTACTCAACCATACTACTTGCTAGCACAGGCATAGCCTTAGTCCTGGAAATACAGGGAAAATATACAAGAGCACTGTTTTTCAAATGTCTGTTCCCTTTTTGTCGGAAGAGCCTTTTTAGCTCTGAAAACTTCTCCTTGTTTAAAAGGCAGAGGCTAATTATTATCATTTTTTGTATGTTTGTTCTGAAAGGGGATTTAATGGGACTCATAGACATACTATGGAAAGAACTGATAAGGGAAAAAAAATACAGGCAGAAAAACAGCGTTCAGTTCTGAATAAACAACCCTAGCCAGAAAAAGCTTGTGCAAAAGGAGAGAAAAAAAACAGTATTTCAGTGCAGGTCCACAGCAGGAGCTGCACCAGAGAGCATGAATGTAACCACAAATGAAATCCGTTCATATGTACTTGACCTTTACTGGGTATTATTAACCAAGAAGCAAAAGAACCTGGATAAATGCTAGGTCCAGTTTGTTCATTTTCTGTGCTAGCAGTGGTTGTAAGTCAGTAAAGCCATCCCCTCAGAGCAAGTTTATTCCTTACATGGCTCTACTGCATCTCTTCTCCCAAGCAGGCAATAATATTTACACTGAGGCGCTCCCCAGGGAGATTCATGCAAATCTCCTTGTCCAAGAGAAACTCTCCAATGTTGCCTGAAATGAAGCATTGGAGATGAGGGCTTTGTGGCTCCCTCCTTCCAGACTCCAGCAAAATTGCTCCTAGGTACACCTCACTCTGAAGCAAGTAGCAAATGTAAGAGAAGTGCAAAACATCTGTCATCAGACTCAACAACACGGGAAGAGATTTGCTCTGCATGTCCTGGAGCAGAGATAATATCCCAACTGGTGTGCTCCCTGCTGAAAACTTATAACACTTCTGATAAGCAAAACAGTGATGGGATTTCGGCTCACTTGATGTCTTCCTTTCCCAGGGTCACTGTGCTCAGTTATCCCCAACCACCTGGCCACGTTTCACAGCCTCGTTACAAGGGCAGTTGCGTTATTTCTTAGTGCCACCAAGTGGAGAAATTCAACACTACCATTTTCGATCATCACTCGACCAATCAACTCTGGTGCCTGCAGAAGAGCAAAAAAAGTCAATCAGACTAAGGTTTTGCAAATTAAAATAAAAATTAATGTTATCTATTTCGATGCTAAATAGGAAACAAGTTCACAACAGAGCAAACCTTCAAATATGTATAAATCAGTAAGGCTCTATTCAGAGTGACAAGAAGTATATGCTAAAAACTACGGAAAGGAGAAAGAGGGCTTAACCTCATAATTAAATTGAAGACTATCTGATTTCAATGTCTTGCTCAACAAGCATGGTTTGCTGAGCTGGAGCCAAAGATACTGGTAATTAATTCAGAATTACTGAGTGGAAGCTGAGATTTCCAATAGGTTGATGCCTTTCCATTGTAATTTAATGGGAGGAAAAATACTCACCGCTTCCTGCTACAATGTAATTGTGAAAAAGTTCAATTCAGTTCTTTATTAAACCGTGGCAGCAGTATCATGAGTCAATCACTGAACTCTTTTTGTAAGCATATGAACTTTACCAGGCAGCAGGAAAATCAACAAGGGAAATGTTAGATAGCAACAGTATTATGTATCCATCTGAATCAGGTATTTTCACTTTTTCAGATTTACGTTAACTTTGCCTGTAAATAGAGAGACAGTGGTACCGATCATAGGGTCACATCAAATATAATTTTCCATTAGATCGACAAAGAAATAAACACAGATGTGTTTCTGGAACAGGAATTTACATCTGGCTTACTGGATATTAGGAAGAATTTCTTTTCTAGTCTTTTCCAGTCTTAGTGATTCCATGATTCTACTCTGCAGATGAGACTGCCTGGAGTATAAAATAGTTGCATGCATTCTAAAAAAAAAAAAAAAAAAAAAAAAAAAAAAAAAAGGTTAGCTTTTTAGTGCAAATGCATTACATCTATCCAGATAAATAAAAATGTTATAAGGATCACAAGATGAATTTACTAATGCAAATATGGCAGTGAAGTCTTTGTCCATTGGATGTGCTTAAGCAAACTTCAGAAAACTTCTGAATAATCAGAATAAACTTCTTTGAGCAAGAGAGAGCTATGCAACTGGGCCATCTATAGCTGGAGTAAGGGCTGGATGTGGTGGTGCACATAGGTGGCTCAGAGAAAAAAAATGGCTTTTGCTCATTTCAGAGCAATCCAGGTAACAGTTTTTTCTCAAAGACATTCTTCCTGTAAAGTGTTGGAAAACTGCATGTTCATTCTGTTTATTCAGAGAGCAGCTCATTATTTACAAATAGTGGTATAAAATGAAAGCTAAATATAGGTTAAATATCTTCCTGTACATATCAGTAAAATGCACATCTTATGCAGACCACACAGGAGCATCACCTAAGGGTCAATTACCGCACATAGGGAAGCCCAAGCACTTCACGTGGCTCCTGATGTGAGAAGCATCCCAGGCTTTGAGTGCTTTGGCTGTGACTAGCAAATACATCAGCAGGGAATAGTTGCCCTGGCTGCCCCAAAGATCAGCAATGGGTGCATCCCTGCAGCTTCCCTTGGGTTTCTAGGACATTTCTCTCAGTCCTTTGGGACTATGCATGACTAATTCCCAGTGGATCCCACAGCTGCACTGCCGAGCTCAGGCACTGCACAAGCATCAGCACTAAAGATCCCTGTGCTGGATGTAGCCTTTAAACAGCTAGACAGCATGCAGAGCAGCAAGCAGCTGAGCCATCCCAACTGACAGGCCTCATCAATGCCACCATTTTTATTAGGCTAGGCTTGAAGAGTGTTTAGACATTTGTTATTAAGAGATTAAACCTTAGAGATTAATGTGAAAACATAGTAAAGACATAATCTTGGGAGAAATAAATAAGATATTTGAGTTTAAGAAAGAACACATTAACATTAGAAGCAGCTCATTATATTCTCTAGGAATTTAGTCAAGAATTGCATGAGTAATCCTGTGTTTACATACTTGGTCTAGTGTTAGATATTTTCCAGTAAATTGCCAGTAGGAACAAGCCTTCCCAGCTTTGCAGCAATGAAACATAGCAGATGGAGAACATATCTTCCTCTGCCTGTTATTCCAGTAGTGACACAAGAAATAAACAAAATTCTGTGCGCAGACCGCAGAAGGGTTAAAGAGATGCTGAAATAAAGTAAAAAAGAAACTGTCAAGTCCTCAATAACCTGCAAGGAACTCATCTATCCAGTATTCAATTCATTCTAGATGAAAAGATCCATTGTAACTACATAGCAGCCTTACACATTTCCAAACAGGTATCTTCCTGCCCTCTTCCTCCAGCATCCATCATAAACCTCTATAAACTCTTCAGACTTATCCTGCGGAAATTTTCCAATTGAGGTGCAATCTATTCAGCTAAATGTCTGTTAACCTGACAGCTCCTTCCAATTAGTCCTTCCTATTTAAACACATGCCTTGTCTGCTACCACAGGAACATTCAATTAAGATGAAGAAAAAAAGTGCAGTAGACAAGTTTGACACTAATATAAATAAATGAGTGTATTTTCTTCATGCGCAAAGATATCACAGTTCAGATTTCTATTGAGCTTTCACCTCAAGGGGATTTAAGTACAGAAATCTTGCACAATGCCTGTTTCGAGTAAGCAAAGGAAGAGTGGCACTAAGAAAAAGCAAAAATATCTTCAAACACCATGCAAATTCATGCAGATCAGTAGGATAATGAAATTAAGAGTGATTTAACTGCCATTCTAACTGCATTTCTTATACTGATACTGGTGTAAAAATAGACAACTAATTTGATAACATTCTTCCTCAGAAACACAAAGCTATAAGTGGTCTTCTGCAAAGTCAGACAGGTGTAGCCTGCTCTCCTTCCTTCCCAGGAGCACTTTGCATCACCAGTCCAGGTCTTTGCAAAATGATAAAATGACTTTTGTACATGAAGATCAATTAAAATAGATTCTTCTTGGCCATTTAGCATGAGTACTGCTGTCTTTCATTTCTCTCCATCCCAGTCACTCACTCTTTTCTAAAGGCATCAGTCAGCTTCTCTCTCAGGCAGCCCAAGAGACAACCCAGTCACTCTGAACCTGCAGCTGTTTGCCCTCAGATAGCATTTAGATAGTCACAGAATCATAGAATTGCAGGGGTTGGAAGGGACCTGGAGAGATCACTGAGTTCAACTCCCTTGCTACAGCAGGTACCCTACAATCACCACCTCCATTTAAGGTCTGGGAGAGGGCTTCTCTCAATGGAAACTTATTTTTCATTCAGTGAAATGATACAGTTGAGAGAAAAAAAAAAAAAAACAAAAACATTTTTCTCGCAACCTTCAAGAAGATGTCTAAAATCTGAGACACTGTGCCAAAGCACATAGAAATGTTATAAACCATACTTCTTTGTATGATAGACTGTCTGTAAGATAGTTTAATATTGCCATGATTTGTGTGTTAAAAATGCTTAGATTTCCTCTGCTGAAGTTGTGCTTCCCCGTGCAAAGCATTTGCTTCTCATCAAGAGCCATGGTTTACTAGCATGGAGTTCATCAGCAGAGGGGCCAGTCCCTCCAGCAGCACTAATTATAACCATTTCCAAGAAGGCTGGTTGTGGTTCCTGTTAATTAGGACCCAGTCTGTGACAGATGCTCACAGATGTTCCTCAGGGATGAGACTTATAACATAAATCATTACTCCTGTGATAGCAACGGGTGGCTGCGTGGACCTTAGCCCAGTAAACCACACTTCTACTTCATCAGGATCATATCATCAGGAATATCCAGAACATTACAAGGTGGCCAGGTACTTCCACACTTTGCCATAAGAAGGCATGAATGGGACAGGAAAATACTGCCTATATGCAAGTGAAAGAAAACATCCTATTTTCTGTATATGTTACTGTATCCTAACCTAACATGCCAAAAGAAATTGAAGATACTAAGTCATGGAAATATAGGCATCAGAAATAGGCATTTTAATAGTTTCAGAGCAAATCACGTGCATTCTGATTTAAATCAAGCTTTGGCCTGCTTTTTATAAACAAGCACACTGGTTGTGCTTTTTTGCCATATGCTTACTTAGCTAATTACATCAAAATCTACTTAAGCATTTATAAGGAAATGGACTGTGGACTGTTGAGCATCATGATAACACATAAAGCAAGAGTTAAACTCTGTTCTGTTTATCCAGGCAAGCAACAGAAAACATCTTGAAAATGCCAAAGTCAGAATAAAATTTAATTGGCACAAGAAAAAAATGCAGAAAAACCAGGGACAAAGCGAGGTTCACAAGCTCTCTATGAACTGAAATATGCTAACACAGTGTTTGGAAGAGTTTCCAACACATAAAAAAGGCAAAAATAATGACAAACAACTGCCCTTGAGTGTTAGGAAGCAAAAAAAGAATACCTGTATTCAGGGCTGCAATTCATGTCCTGAGTAATCTGCCTGGCTTTCAGCAAACATGGGAATTCAGCCAAGGAAATACATTTGACCTCCCTGTTAAGCCTGCAGATAATCTGATTTTCAGCCGGGTTTTGGCTCCCAACACACCTTAAGCTTTGGTGATGCATGAATAGCTGTGGTCCCTTCCCAACATCGAGGCCAGGAGATGAACAGCTAGAGAAAAACACAATTTCCAGCTGTGACACAAACAGTTTGGTAGCACACATTAGCTGATATTAGGGAGGAAATTTTAACTCAGTCATTTACAACCATGAGAAAGTGCTGCTTGCCTCCTGTACTAGCCTTGACAAACAGACACTGGGCCTCTCAGTACATGAAAGTCATTGAGACCCTGAAGCGTGTTCAGCGAAGGGCAAAAGAAACTGGTGAGGGATCTGGAGCACAAGTGTTATGGGGAGCAGCTGAGGGAGCTGGGATTGTTTAGTCTGGAGGAGGATGCTGAGGGGTGGCCTTATTGATCTCTATAACTACCTGAAAGGAGGCTGTGGCAAAGCGCACATTGCCCTCTCCTCCCAGGTAATAGTGATAGGATGAGTGAGAATGGCCTTAATTTTCACCAGGGAAGATTCAGGTTGGATGTTAGGAAGATCGAGAAGTAGACCCATCAGCCTATCTCACAATTCACACAGAATTTTTACCTAGGGTAGTAGAGGAAAGAAGGGGTTTCTTTTGGCTTACTGTGCTTGCTTGAACTGCTCTCCCAACATAGTCACACCTGTGTATGCATGAAATTGCACTGGGTGCATTTTATAGAAAACCTAAACTCTCACATTTGTGCTTTTTTTCTAGCTGAGCTTTGCTGTCCAGGCACCTGCACATATAGAAGCAGCTTAAATTGCATTTTTCTTTATGTCATTTAAATAATTTAGGAACTCTGAACAGAGAGACCAAATATTAAGTAATTCAAAGCTTTCTCAAGAATCTCTGAGAGAGAATCACAGGATACTGCTTGCAATCAAAGTGGAACTGCTCTTCTCCTTTGTCAAACTCAGAGGACGTAGCATGCGAGAACAAAACAACATAACAACGCTTTCCTTGAAAATGTTTTTCTTTCCATCCACATGTACAAACAGGAAGACCACGTCTTGTATTATAAAATGTTTTTCCATACTTCTCCTTCTATACTACTCACATATGAGACACTCCATGTTGTAGAGGTTTCTATAGCAACAAAATATTTTTTTTTTTTTTTTTACAATAGAAGCTGTTCTTTCCCCAGGTATATCAGCAGGTCATAGTTTAGCCTTTGAAATTAAGCTTCTTGTCTTTATGGAGCTGCATATCCAGAGCGTGAAACTGTATTTTCCACTTAGTTTTCATGAGTAAATAATGATGCCTTGACTCCAATTAGCAAACAGAGAAATCAGTACAGGAATTTTAGTGGCAGAGAGCAAATTACTGCGTCTGAGTGCTTCATAAGATTTGAAGTATGCATCCACATATGCCTTTCCTACCCTTAGGAATTTATTACTCTCATTTCACAGCAGACAGGGAGAAGCACATAGAGGGTAAGTGCCCTGCTACAATCATACAAAAGGGCTGTGGCTGAGTGGACCGTGAGATGAAGTGGAGCAATCATGAGGCTTTTGCCCTCTCTGCCATACCATTTTTGTAAACACCACTGAGGTGGATTATTTGTGTTCATCTCGATCCAAACTATGCTGAAGTTCAAATGAACTTCCTTTCCTCCTCCTTCATGTCATTGCTCCTTTAGCACCCAGCGCCTCGATCCTAAGCATCAAGTTTTTTTCTTCAACATTCATTTTAGACAGTCCCATCAATGCAATCCCATCCTCATCTCTGCTGTCATCACAGCTTAGTTCTTTATTCTTCCATACTTCCTCAGACTCACTTCTCCAGTCAAGTTTGTTTTCTTTCCATTTCCACCTTCCAAAGATTTTCTGAGCAATTTCTTTTGCTAAGATTTTACTCACCAGCGAGGCTTTTTTCCATCTTTCACTTCAAATTGTTATTTTGTCCTGATTCACACAGTATCCTTTTAGGACAAAGAGCATTTCAAGTTGCATTTGATAACAGCAACACACGTTTATGCCACTGGAACAATGCAAAAGCATATAGGATACAGATATCATCATTCTTGTTTGGGAGGATGAGTGAAGAAGACAGTAATCTCACAACTCAAAAAGACTATTCTTCTTCTTCCATTAATTTATTGTGCATTTGGGCTATTATTCAAACTAAGATTTTTGCTTGTAAAATAATGCATTCTTTCTATCACATCAATCCCTAGGAAGCAAGTGGCCCAATTTACGTTTGTTCTACAGTGCTGGCTTTCCAGAGCCTGGAAAAAGATAGAGACAAGGCCCAATATCTAACATGAAATGCAAGCAAAGCTGGTCCAGCAGGGAAGAGGAAGGTGTCCCCAGCCTGAGAACAGTGGCAAATCAATTCTCCTGGAGAATATCCTACAGAAGGCATAACTCTGCTAGGATCTACTTAGCCTAGTCCAGAGAACTGAAGCCACTATCTTGCTCCAGTTTTAACTGGCTCCTCTGTTTAAACATACCTTTTCCCAAGCTGTATAAAATGAGCAGAGGGGGCTTCAAGGTGACCTGCTTTGTACCATGCGGATTGTCTGGTTTTGAACAGTACTTCTCCAGGTTACAGTCCTCCAGCTGTGAAGAATATGGGTCTTAGTGAAGTGCTTTTTTGGCCTCCCACAGACCTTACTGTGGTACTGTGG